TATTCTTCTGGAATCATCAAGAATATTCATTTATTTCACAGTTTTTTTGAGAAATTAAAGTCTCACTCTATTTTTCTTGTAATTGATTTCTTTTAGCAAAACAAAACTTTTCGAAATTTTATTTAAATCAAACTTACCTCCATTAATTATTAATTAAAATATCTCATATTCGAACATATTATATAATTATGGTCAGAAGAATATTTTTTATTTCAATATCAAAATAAGAATTAATTATCTAAACCATAAAAGAAACTTATATTTCTAAATACAAACCAGGTTTCTAAAATAAAAATGTTAATCTAATTGATTAGAATATACTTAAAGTCTAATTTTTTCTTCATAGTTTTGTAAACACTATTATTTGTAATCAAAATTAGCTAAATAAAAGGAAATCTATTTTATTTTGATTTGATAGTAGTAAAAAGGAGTATTGTTGATAGAATAAAGAAATTTGTCTCAGTTTCTAAAGAAGCAAAATGTTTCAAATCATATTATTTATAATAATTCATTTGATTAGAAGAAATTAAATTTGATAAAAAAAATGTTTCTAATTCTTTAAAGCTGATTCAAAAAACTCTTTTAAAATAAATCTTAAGGGATTTTAAATCAAAAAATGAGTAATGTAGCATATAATAAATAAGGAATATTAATAATAAGATTTGATTAATCATTAAGCTGGATTGTTGGCTTTGAGGAATTCTTAAGCTTCAGTTATTGCCTCCAATGCTTTTGTCTTTTCTTCACTAGTATCAATTAATGGATCATTAACTTTTCCATCCTAGTAATAAAAAAGAATTGATTACTAGCCAGACTTAAAGTTCATTTACTGATTCAACAAGTCTTCCAATAATATTTGGATACATTTAAACAGTTTCTTAAAGAACTTCTTCCTATAAATTTATTGATAAAATTTTGAACTTATTTTTTGATATCAGCTTCATCAGAATTTTAGTTCTTAAGCTTTTAAATTCTTTCATTTTATTTTAATTCTTCCTTTTAATAACCAAAAAATTCTTTTTGAATTCTTTTGAGAGCAGCTGTTTTGATCTTAAGTTATTTTAAATCTTTATTGTTCTCGGCCATTATATATAAATTTATATATATAAAATTTAAATAAAATCGAATTTTAGAACATAAACTAGTCTTAGTAATTTTATAAGGTATATATTAACTAAAAATTTGAATAATAAATGGTAATTAAATTGGAATGAAAATAACAGTTATAATTTTTACAATTCCTAATATAAAAGGATTGATCTTAGTAAATTTAGTTTAGAAAAAACGATAATTATAAATAATAATGATAATATTAGTTTTAGGATGCTTATTAATAGCAAATGCATTACCAGGTGATTCATGTTAAACAACAGCAAAAGGAATATTTGCAAAAAGACAATCAGAATTTGAAGAATAATTAAATAGATTAAGAAACGAAGTAGCTTAAGGAAGAAGATAAAATCATTTAGGAGAATTTGATTATGCTGCAAATATGAATATAATAGAATGGTAATAAGGGATTGCAAATGCTGCATAATCATGTTCAGAAAGATGTCCAGATTCTATAGAAACATGCAAATAAGTAGATTAAGAAAATAAATAAACAATTAGTTAACAAGTCGTTATGGTGCTCTACATAAATTCAGAACTGTTCATTCAATGAGTTAAGAATGGGAACCAAGAGAAGTATATCAAAAATGGATGGATGATAATAAAGGTGAATAATTAGTGATTGCAAGAATGAAATATTTTGGTTGTGGACGTGCATTAAAAAAGAATATTGATAAATTTATAGAATATGTTGTTTGTTTCTTTGATGAGGTAGTTATATTTCTAAATAATAAAGGCTCCTCGTAAAGGTATTGTTCCATATGTTTCTGCTACTTAAAAAACAATTGGGTCAGCTTGTGATAAGGGAAGATCAAGTACTTATTCAGGTTTATGTAAAACTACAATATATTAATAAAAAATATTTGATGGAATAAGGTTTAGTAAATATACTCTGGTTGAAAGTAAGTGATATATATAAAATATATTAAATTTAAAATGAAGAAACCTAAAATTAATTGTTGTTTATTTTTAATATTCTTCAACTTCAAAATTTAATATTAAGATGATTGCATGTTTAAACATATCATCTTTTTTTTCAAAAGATAAATTATAATTAAAATAAATGTGTCTATGAGAAATTTTCATACACTTATCCAATTCTATTTAATTTATATTATGAAAAAATTGTAAAAAAGAATAATTACATAATTTTTAATATCAAAAATGTATTCTTAATTTTAGTTTTAAAAAATCTTATAATTGGGATCTCAATCTTTTAAAAAATGTATTGAAATCATTTTAATTTCTTAAAAATTGGTTAATTTTGAGTTAAATTAAGAATATCGAATTTTATTAAAGGAAAATGTAAAATTTAATATTACAAACACTTTAATATAATTCACTTTTTGAGTTTCTCTTTTTTATTTTTACTTGGATCTGGGTTCATGTTTTACCATTTATATCCTTCAATTGCATTAATGAAATTAGAAAGCATTAATTTAGGTATATTATTTGTGGTAGTTTATTGAAACTTGAATCTATTAATTTAATAATATAAACATAATACTTTGTAGTTATTTCTTAATTTAATTGTTTTATTTTAAGTTATTGTTCAGGTTCATCTGCAATTAGACATATTGGTTCTAATAATTTTTCTATATATTATATTTTTGCATTTTTTTCTTTTTTTTTATTTGAATTGAAAAATTTAATTGGAGAAGAAATAACTTAAGTAGTTTATTAAACTTAATTCGTTTATTATGGTTATTCTCTAATAACTTCTGAATATGCTTATTCTTCATCTTCTAATTATTTAAGATTTCTCTCTTCTAAAACATGTTTATTACTTGTATCATTTTTCAATTCTTTTTCACATTTTTCTGCATATTGTCTTAAATCTTCAGTTACAGGTGCTACTAATTTAGTTGTATATTTATTTTCATCATATGTAGCATCAATTCCAAATTTTTTAATAGCTTCAAATTGGTCAAAGTTTTTCATTGCTTAATCTTCTAAATTTGAAGCATCCACATTTTATTCCCATCTAACAAATGTTTTTGTTTTTTTTTCAGATTTAGATTTTTCTACTATTTATGATTATTAGATTTGATTTTGAACTTTTAGATAAGTCAAATCTTTGAATTGTATTTGTTTATTATCATTTTATTCATTAGTTGCCAAATTACGAGTATAGGTAAAAACAAATTTTTGATCATTTGGTTATATGAGTCTTATCTATCCTTCATATTAAGTACCATTTATATCTTAATATTGAACACAATCTTATTATTTTAGAACTAAAAAAAAGTGAGCCAAGTTAGCTTACATTTATTCAGAAATAATCATTAAATTTATAAATAATTATAAATCAATGTCTTAATTATGTTTTAGGTTATGCTGCAATTTTATCTATTCTTTTTATTTAATTGAATTATTATGTTACAGAATTTTATATAATCTTTATCGCATTTTTCTCTTTATCTACATCAAGAATCTAATTTATCCTTTTTTGTATTTTCAATGTAAAGTAAAAGAATAATTCAGTAACCAAAATATTTATTAGAGTTATCTGATAATGATCATAAATAAAAATGATTTGGATTACATATATGTTTTACTATAATATTCTTACATAAAATACATTTACAAAATTGAACAAAAATTTAAAATATTAAAGTATTCTAAACTTAATTTCTCAATAATATATGCTCCTTGTAGTTAAATCAAGGTTAATATATAATTATGTAATGAAAATATGAAAAAAATGTGATATTAAAACAATTATCTTGCTATTCTTGAAATTTATGCTCAAATATAAAAATAAAATACTAGTTTTATTCCAATTCAAGCAATCATAAAACATTCACATCTTTGCTTTGATTCATAATGGCAAAATTTCATATATTTATAATAACAAATCAAAAATAATCTTGAAAACGTCGTATTATCACTAAATTTATTGTAAGGTATGTTGAATCAAGTGTAAAATTTTGCAATAAAAACACTTTAATATATAGGTGATCTTTAAAGCAAAAAAGCAATTTATAGAAATAAAAGATATTATGTTTATGAAGTAGATACATTTCTGTTTAAGTAATAATGTTGATTATTAAAATCTTTTAATGCAGTATATTTAATTTTAGGTTATAATTAATATTCTAGTTTTAAGATGCTTAGTACCAGCTTGGTCTTTTGAAATATCCTCAAAATAAGCAATAGAGTATGTTAATATGATTTAATTACCACTATTACCTTATTTAATTAAAATGCTTTGATTTAAATGGTTATTCTGAGAAGTTTTCATGACAAAAGAAAAATAATAAGTGATTGTTTAAGGCTGATTTGAATTGTTCTTAAATCTTTAAATTTTTTTATTATCTTAATAGTATATTAAACAATCAATTCATTCTAATTTTTTGGTATCATCAACAAAATCAATAAATATTAAAATTTAATGTACAACNTTATATCTTAATATTGAACACAATCTTATTATTTTAGAACTAAAAAAAAGTGAGCCAAGTTAGCTTACATTTATTCAGAAATAATCATTAAATTTATAAATAATTATAAATCAATGTCTTAATTATGTTTTAGGTTATGCTGCAATTTTATCTATTCTTTTTATTTAATTGAATTATTATGTTACAGAATTTTATATAATCTTTATCGCATTTTTCTCTTTATCTACATCAAGAATCTAATTTATCCTTTTTTGTATTTTCAATGTAAAGTAAAAGAATAATTCAGTAACCAAAATATTTATTAGAGTTATCTGATAATGATCATAAATAAAAATGATTTGGATTACATATATGTTTTACTATAATATTCTTACATAAAATACATTTACAAAATTGAACAAAAATTTAAAATATTAAAGTATTCTAAACTTAATTTCTCAATAATATATGCTCCTTGTAGTTAAATCAAGGTTAATATATAATTATGTAATGAAAATATGAAAAAAATGTGATATTAAAACAATTATCTTGCTATTCTTGAAATTTATGCTCAAATATAAAAATAAAATACTAGTTTTATTCCAATTCAAGCAATCATAAAACATTCACATCTTTGCTTTGATTCATAATGGCAAAATTTCATATATTTATAATAACAAATCAAAAATAATCTTGAAAACGTCGTATTATCACTAAATTTATTGTAAGGTATGTTGAATCAAGTGTAAAATTTTGCAATAAAAACACTTTAATATATAGGTGATCTTTAAAGCAAAAAAGCAATTTATAGAAATAAAAGATATTATGTTTATGAAGTAGATACATTTCTGTTTAAGTAATAATGTTGATTATTAAAATCTTTTAATGCAGTATATTTAATTTTAGGTTATAATTAATATTCTAGTTTTAAGATGCTTAGTACCAGCTTGGTCTTTTGAAATATCCTCAAAATAAGCAATAGAGTATGTTAATATGATTTAATTACCACTATTACCTTATTTAATTAAAATGCTTTGATTTAAATGGTTATTCTGAGAAGTTTTCATGACAAAAGAAAAATAATAAGTGATTGTTTAAGGCTGATTTGAATTGTTCTTAAATCTTTAAATTTTTTTATTATCTTAATAGTATATTAAACAATCAATTCATTCTAATTTTTTGGTATCATCAACAAAATCAATAAATATTAAAATTTAATGTACAACATTCTGCTATTCCAGTAAAAAAAGAGAATTATAATTGTACAGATGATAAATAAAAGTAATAATATCCATTTACTCATTAGATTAGCTTTTTATATGTGAGTTTGGTAATTTATTAATTAAACAATATATTAATATATATATATTATGAATCAAATTGAAAACTTTAAAAATAGTTTGTAGTAGAAATTAGAGAATAGACTTTAATTCATAATAGGTTTTACATAGTTTTGTTTGATGAAAGAAAACTATTTCCTTTGGATTTTAGCCATGATAGTGAGTGTATTTTAAAAAGTGGCGATAATAAAATTAGCATCCTTACTTAATAATTTTAAAGGATAATCTGGTACTTAAGATTTAGAATTACTCTTTAAAATATGTGTTCCTACTATATATTTACCTGAAAATTTGGGACCTGATTATTTAATTGCATGTTAGAGTGTATTTATAATGTTCTTTTCAATTCCAGGTATTTTAGTAGGAGTGAGCATGTCTGATGAGATAACATTTTTTAAATAAACAAAATTTAAGAATAAAAGATAATTAAATATAAGTTAGAGTGATAATCTTAGTGATTGTATTTAAATTATGCATTAGATTTATAATTAAAATTCTTATATAGAAGGATTTCAACATCGTTTAATGTCAGATTAATCTAATACATCTTTACAAATCATAAGATTAAGATAAATAGCAATTTTCTTGAATTATTTTCCTCATGTTTTTTTAATTCCTATACTTTATTTCTTATTACAAATTAATTTAGCCTTAGACAAGGCAGATCAAACTTAATAAATTGTTGGATAAATATTAAATGTAATATTGGCAATAGAAACTTTGATAATTGCAGGATTATCATTAGTATGGTGTTAAGTATCATTTACTTTACATGAATCTAACTTTTTAAGACTAAGATTTTCATATTTATAATGGTTACATATAGGATTTAGTATAATACCAATATTAATCAGTTATTCTTATGTACGAGCAGGTAATTAAATTTATGAAGATGATTTTATTCATGTTGTAAATTTAGTATTTGTAATATTGGCATTTCTAATTGATGCTTTGGATGCTTATGTTACATTACCATATGTCTAAAAATTTAAATATTCAACTAATTTATTTATGAGAGCTATTGTAATTTGTCTAACATTATTCTTTATTTGTAGATTAAGTGACGAATAGATTATATGTTTAACTTTTATTGTTTCACCTTGTCTTAGTAGACTATTTGTTGTATTATAGGATAGTAGAATTGAAAATGTACTCACTTCAACTTTAAAAAAAGAAAAAGCTATTCAAGTTCCTGTTATTTAATAATAACTTTAATAAACTCTACATACACATGAATCAGAACAAGGTTTAAGAATTGAAAGTGAAAATATTAAATATAAGGATTTCTAATCTAATATGATTAAATAATATGACATGTCTTATTTTATTCATTTCATCAGAGCTGTCTAATTAATGAGATTAACTGAAATTGGAGTCTTAACTAGAAATTCTGGAGTTTAATTAAAAAATGAAAGATCTAAAATTCTTATGGTTTGTATCATATTGTTAAGAACTCACACTGAAAATTGTAATAATCTTTATTGCTTTTGTCGCGGTCTTAAAGGAGAAAAAAGAAAAATTATTGAAAAATATGAAATTGTTAAAGAAATGAGAATGTACGATGATTTCAAAATTCTTAATATTCAATTTTATGTTGAATTAATTATGAGATATTTAAGAGATTACTCTAAATTAGTCTTTTAAACTGAAATTCGTAAAGCACATCCTAATATTATATATTTGATATAAATTCTAGTATTTTTATGTAACTCTGATGAATGTTATTAAGCTCAATTATAAATACTTGATTTAAAGCATTTATTAGAAAAAGGAAGTTCTTTATAATAAAGATTAGCATTTGAATTACTAAAAAGTTATTCAAAATATTAAATCTTACATAGATTCAAAGAAGATATCACTAGATAATCAATAGAATTGACATTGAAATATGAGGATTACAGGTATACAGAGTTAGAAAGAGATCGCCTATTGAAATTAGTTTTTGGAAATTTATAACATAAAAAACAATTTCTAATCAAATTAAATGATGAAACACATAGTTATGAATCTCTTGAAGAGCTATATTTGTAATTAAACTCATAAAATTGTAAGATTTAGAAAGAACTTGAATATTTTAACTTATATTCACCTGGTAGAACGTCTTTATATTGCTATATGCTTTACTGTCTAGAAGTTACAAATAATTATGATCAATTTATTAAACTATGTAATTTAATCAATACCAGAGAAAGTAAATTCTTTGAATACCCAACTTTCTATTATAAAACTGAAGAATAATCATACAAAGTAGGATACATGTTGCTTAATCTTACATAGTCACATATGAAGAGAGGTGAAATTATTACTTTCTCTAAAAACTTTCCCTCATTTGTTGGTTATACATAGGAAGAATTTCGATAATAAGTAAAATCTTTAGATTAACTTTGCTATCCTAGTCTAATAAAAGCACATGATGAGATGGTGGAAATGTTTGTATTAACAAATAGACCTATGATATTTAGATAGCCATTGCCATTATTAACATAATAATTAACTCCAGGAGTATTGTGTTATTTAGAAATATTTATAGATATCAGTTTTAATTTTTCATCAAATATTCTTCCTTCATTTTGTTTTATGAAAGAAATCAAATAAGGAATTAGATAAGATGGATTGAGTGGATTTATACTTTTAGATTCAAAATAAAATATAGAAGGGATTACAAATAATGCATTGGAAAGTTTTGAGATGAGTAATCCATCTAAATTAATAGGTAAATCTATTAATCAATTTATACCAAATTTTAATTCATTAGATGCATAATTATAACACTATTTGGAGGAATATTAAAAAGAAAATGGTGTAAGTGGAACATTAACTACATCAAATAAATTAGTTCAACATTTCACAGTATCTTAAGAATCTATTGAAATGATATTTGATAAAGAAACAAAATATTAATTAGATTTGGAAGTGTAAATGTCATATTCTCTTGTCAATAGAATGGTTTTTAAAGTATATGTTCTAAAAATAAGATCACCATATAAATTAGGAGCAGTTTGTAGTGATGAATCTCCTTTATCAAAGTCTTTAGATGAATATAGTTCTGAATTTGAAGGAATAAAATTAAAAGATTATATTATGCCTGGTGCAGGAGATAATGAGATTCCTTAATTTACGTCTTAACCTGATCCAATAACTTTACGTAGTCAGATGGTTCCTGTTGAATAAGAAAACTAACCATTAAAATAATAAGAATTTTTGTGTAGTGATCATCATGATATGCTATCTAAGTAAGATTCAAGTGAAAAAGACATGGAATCACCTGAATAACCTCATAAATAGATTTATATAAATAGTATTAGTAGTAATTCATCTAAATAAAGTGAAATATAAAGAATCTTAGTTAAATCTCATTTTTATCGTAAATTCTCTGAAATGAACACTAAACCTAGATTGCTTTATGCATTACTTTTTATTAATATATTTTCTTTAGTATCAATTTTAGGATTTATGAGTGCTAGTACAATTCTATATACAAATTGGTAAAGCAATATGAGAAGCAATATCTATATTTTATAAGCCTTTACTATGACTGCCTATAGCAGAGCTACTATGTAAGGAACTATGACTATGATTTAATACACTCAATAAGGTTAAAATCTATCAGAATATGGTATTTATTATGAATAAAACGCTACTTTACTTGGATAATTATAGACTGTGTTGGATAGGAATATTGAAATATTTTCAACAAGAATGGATGAGTATTCAGAAAATTCAATTATTAGAGAAGTATTCTCAACAATAGAATTAGAACAATTAGATATATTTGAAAATGTTGATAAAACAGTCAAAGGTTGGACTGCTCTCTTCTAATTAATCTATATGATAAGATCCTTACATATAATTGATTTTACAGATAGTTTTTAGTTTTTGAAATCCATTCTATATTTATTGAGATCTTATAGTAAATATAAAGATGCTTATTCACTTTTAAATACTAGATTCACAGATGAAATTAATTCTATTTTGGGGTCGCAAGATAATATTATTGATTATGTTTCCTTTATTTTCATTGCAGTTTATGTAATCTATTTCTGTATTGCATTTCTTTTATAATTTTCTTACATTTAATTATGTAAAAAATACATAAGATGTTCTGAATAAATTTCACATTCTGCAATTGCAAGTGAATTAAACCATGTGAATCAATTATTATTAATTAATCAAGACGTAAATATATATATAAGGTTATTAGCATTTTGATCTTTATGAATATCATTTCTCTTTAAGAGATAAATTCCATTCAGAGGAAGAAGATAAATAAAATAATAATTACTTGAGTGGAAGTTCTAACACAAACAATAACAATAATAATAACAATAATAAGAAATTTATCAAAGTTTAAGGCTAATTGAATATAAAAAGATAAATTACTTTTAGTCTTCATTTAATATCATTCACTATTTCATTGGTGACATTTTTATTAATTAGAATGAATGATAAAGGTTAAATTAAAGATTTGGAGTCTAAATTGGAGATATACTAAAAATGTATTACTTTTACAGAAAGTTTATCAGAAGCATGTTTGACTAATTTCATATTGCAAAGTAATAAATATTTAGTTCAAAATGATTTTATTGATGTTGATGATCCAGCCTAATTTTTTATTTATACAAATCAAAGCTACACTATTGCAAATAGTATTTTAGGAGAGATCCTTTATTCAGAAGGAACAGTATCTGAAGAATTGAAGATTCTATTTTCAAGTAATGTATGCTTATAGGTTAATGAGCCTGATATATGTGTCACTGTGAATAATGGAGAATTACAATAAGGATTATTATTACCATCTTAAGAAATTTTTTAAATTTTAAGAGAGAATATTGATTTATACTAAATATCAGGAGTTGCGTCTCAAATGCTTTAACTGAGACATATGTTGTCTGAAAGTTTTATGATAGATGCTATTACAGGTTTTGTAGACACTGTTAGATAAACTGTAGAATAAGGAATTTTGGATGGTAACAATGTTAAATTAACAATATCTGTTCTTTTTTACCTTTTCATTATTTTGATTAATATGTCTTAGATTTATTTTATTCATTAATTTATCACTCAAAAGCTATGGGGTATTAGATAATTTGTTTATTTATTACCACCCAAAGCTTTATACAATGAAGATAGCTTTTATAAAACTTTAACTTATTTACTGAAAATTGAAAATTAAATACTGTATTTGTGAAAATCTAATTTAGTAAATATATTGAATATTTATAAAACTCTTATAAAATTTAATATAAATATATAACGATATAGAAATATTAAATCTTATAATAACATAGAAATATTTTATTATAAATTCAAAAAAAAAGCTAGTACAAACTAGATTAGTAAAATCTAATTACTTACAAAATTAACCAATTTAATTCTAGTTCTAAAATAAAGTTTTATCATTTACAAATACAAATATTTTATATATATATATAAATATTAAATACAAAATGACAATAACTGATAAACTTTGCTTTGGATTTTCAATAGCAGCATTAGTCATATATGTAAGCTTATTTGGAATTTCAAACATCCTTGGTTATGGTCCTGTAAACTAACCAATGAGCAATGGAAGTATATTTATAGGCCATTGTTAGAGTAATGTAATTTAATATACTTTCCGGATCCAAAAGATATTTCAAAGACATTTTGTTTAGAAGAATGTCCAAAGACTGGTGATACAAAATTGCATTGTGATAATTGTTCCGGCAACATTATTAATACAGATGAATGTAATATGTTATTATTTATTTAGACAATCATGGATGTATACCTACATTATATTCTTAATTATCATAAGTTATGCCTGCATTGGAAACTCCAACACTTAATAACTTTACTTAATCTTTAATTTCAAACAGTGAATTTTTATTTACAGGGCTTTTATTACTTCTAGCCTTTCTTTATTTAAGTTAAAGAGTTACCAGATAATATTTTTCAATATTAAATTCATTCTAAACGAAATTCTATCCATATGGTTTATTATGGCTTTCAATCATTATGGCATATCGTTTGTCGAACTTTCATGATATAAATAAACTAGAAAGAGCAGGAGAATCAAGATAATTAAATTAATAATCCATTGAAATTTTAATTGAAGCTTTCAATCATAAATCTACCTATACAATAGTTTTATTGATCTTAATCAAAATATTTATAGGATCCGTTATATCTTAATGTTTCAATTAAAATGATAAAGAAGGTTACAGATTGAAAAGTTACATATCTTTGGTTTTAAGAAAGAAACTTGAATTATATACATTTAGATATAATTCTGCAATTTAAGTTCTTGTAATTGTCAACTTTTTAATATTCTACTACTCAACTACGTAAGAATTATTAGTAATTTTAGGGCATCATTAAGCATTGGCTCAATTAATTCCTCCAAACCTGCATATAGCTAATATTAACCATCTATTTTGGGAATCATCTTAGCAATTTTAGCATTTTGCCTTTTTATTTATATATCTAGAATATTAAGATTGTATACTGATTATTTCATATATTTTTTTACATTAAAACAATTACTATGGGAGTAAGAAGAAAGTATATCAATTTTAAAGTAATTAATAAATTAAATTAGAAATTCATTTGAAGCTTTTGGAACAATTTCTTTATTAGCTTTTAAACAGATTATAAATTCCCCAAAAAATATAGGGATTAAATTTATGAATTTAATTAAAAAGCCATAAATAGCCCAAAAATGGGAGAATGACTTATCTTTATTAAGTTCCTTAACAATAGGTCGTTAAGTATATTACTTAACTCAAAACTAAATTAATAATTAAGCAATTGCTTCATATCAATTATAGGAGAGTATAGATGCTTTACACATTTAAGATTTAGAGATAGTTTATTAATTATGTAAAAATATTTATAAATTGTATTAGATTAATAAGCTGAAACTATTCTAAGGCATTCTGGATGGTCAATAGGATGTTTGATAGGACTGATTAATTCACTCTTTGGTTGTGGATTTTCTACTATCTTATTAATGGTTCCATTATCTTGTGATCTTAATTATGTGATCGGTGCATAAATTATTAAAGGATTCTTTACTTTTGGATTGATTGATGGAAATATAGATGACAATAAATTGATGAATTATTATAAGACAATCATCTAAATTGAGAAGGAAGAACATTTGTCCAAGAAAAATAAATTATAATAAAATTGAGTATAAATAATAAAATAATATGGACAAATATCAAGTCTCTCAACTGCCAGAATTTTTTATCATAAACATGAATAGGATTACAGATATTCATTTACACTGGAATTTCATTCTTTTCATCCATTTGTTGCTCAAAAATATTTTTCAATGAACATTTATTACAATTACAACTTCAATTCTTACTTTGCTAATCTACTAATAAAATAAATATAAGAGGAGATATATAATCGAAATTATTCTCTGTTTTGCTTAGTTAAGAGAAATCTAATTTTATTATTTAACCTAATATTTTCTATTTTTTAAAAACCTTTATTAATATTCCTTTTGATCTTTTAAGGTGATATTTTATTATAATTATTCATAAACTAAGCCATAATTATTTATATTTTTTTGTATAATAATAAGATATATCTAACTATTGTTACTCTTTTAAGAGCAATTGAAATACTGAAAAGATATTTATCTGCTAAAATTTGAATAATGAATGCAACTCAATAAGAATAAGAAGGAATTATATTAAATTAACCTCATCACGTATTTAGATGAAAATCTAAATGAGCGTTTTTCTAATAAACCTATTACGTTGACATCAATAGCTTAAAAATAAATCACAGAATTTATAAAAAAATTACTTAGGATAGAATAATAAGAAACACGTGATAAATAATTAATTAAACTATAGAAAAGCAATCTATTTTTATTTCAACATATCCTCTGTTAATAAAAAATTAGAAAATTTAACCAGGTAATTTTTGGAAAATGACCTATTTTTTAGATTTTACTCTCTATGAAAAATCTAAATAGAAATATGAGA